CTTTCGGCGAAACAGCAGCAGCAGCATCGTCTCGTCAACATTGCGGCTACTGCTCAACAGCCGCCCCCTCCTCCTCCACAACCGCAGCAACAGCCACCGGCACAGCAGCAGCAGCATCACGTGGATCCACAGCATACGGATGCTAACTACGACTATATCATTCGGCCCGGTGAGGTGTGGATGAATAGGTACTACATCAACAGCCTCATTGGAAAAGGCTCCTTTGGACAGGCGAGTCCCCTCTACAACACCCTCCTTGGCGCTCTTTCGTTTAACGTTAATGTAGAATTCTTGCCGTACTCTATAATCAGTTGCTGGTAGCCGGTCTGGTTCTACTTACCTGGATGGTACTGGACAATTTGTACGGTTCTAAAATTAGAGGAGTTTAGAAGAGCACACATATTACGCTTAGAAACAATATCTCCAAGCTTAGAAGCTGCAAGATAATGTTAGTTTGCGCTGGAATCAGATGGGGAATTCAAGCAAATAATAAGGGACTTAGGGCAAACAAAAAGGGTGTAATTAACCAGATGGGAGACAATCAACTACAGGATAAACAGTAGGGTGTTGTCGAATGTAAAAAAATTTCATATAAATGGCTTTAACGTTAATGCCAAAGTTGTAGACGGTAAGTGAACGTGTCTAGTGTTATAAGGAGGCAAACAGTTATGTTACTATTAAATGGATGGAAGTGAGACCAACAAGAAGTCATACGTGGAAACGTACAGTTAACATTTTGCGATAAACAGAGCGTAGTCAGAACCGCCGCCACCACCACCTCGAACTCGCATAGCATCTGCTTCAGTCTTACGAGGACTAATAACATGGACCCAGGCTACATGTGCGCTGATCTCACCGGCTTCTTATACGCAAATATTTCCATTAGCTGTTATCCTACCACCATTGACTACGTCACAGAAGGTTAAGTGGCTGCCTTACTTGTGAATAGGCGCAGATGCTGCAAACTCCAGCGCCAAAGTTACTTAGCATGTACTGCACTAGGAATCTCCCGGCTCTTATCGCATTCGGAATGGAATATCGGAGGGTGGACTTTCAGCTCTCAAAGTACACTTGATCGAGCAGAATAGACTTTAGCGACAGTGCTTAAACCGCCTGACTCATTAGAGTTAGTGACTTTCGTGACTCAGCCCCCCCCCTCCCTAGACATGAATATTCACCATCCGTCGCTTAGCAGTCACTAACAAGCAACATCTAACAATCCTCCGCCACTAGTGCTTACTCACCCCACATAACCTTCAGCAGCTACTAGACTTCCTCTGCCCGCTTTTTCCATCCATCTCAATATTTACCTGCAATCGTTTTGACATTCGATGTAATATCTAGAAAACCCAGGCTCTTGCCTTCTACTCACATTGCTGTGTTGTGTACCACATCTCGACTGCGACTGTTTCATCTAGTCCATTTTCGCCTAACTGTTGTTTTTTGCTCTCCTTCGGTTCTCTTTTTTATGACTGCGAAATCTCCTTTCAGGACTCTTTATTGGCTTCGGGACCTTTTAGTAAAACTTTTCAAAATCTCCACCACACATACTAGTACAATTAGCGTTGTTACGTAGGAAGAATCGCTTAGGTTGACTTTTATCAGCGATCTTTACGACGCTGCTGCTCCATGGAAATGGAGACTTCCGACGCGGGCACCTACCGCGTCGTGGCCTTCATCTACTCATTGCACACGCTTGTATACCGCATTTTGGACCTCCAGTTGGGACACTCATAGTCCTTTTCCTCCTGCCCCCCCCACCCCCTCAGGTCATGAAAGCACGTGACTTCCTGGCAAACGAGGACGTTGCAGTGAAGATTATCAAGAACAAGCGTGCTTTCACCAATCAAGCACAGGTGGAAATACGTCTTTTAAGGAAGATGAACAGGCTTCAGGATGCCCTCGGGGACAACGCCTCCGGAGGCAACTACATCGGTATGTCGTCTCATCGGTCTGCTTTTAACCACTGTTGAATTCTCGTTGTATTTATACCCTTTTTCAACTTCCCATCTGCCGTCTCACACCCTAAAAATGCACATTCTTGCACAAGGTGCAGACGCAGACACTTGTGTCACAGACTACAACTACAACTCTTGTCTATTGTATATCCTCCTCTTAGGGTGAAGACTTTGGTGTGAGGAAGACAGACTTAACCATCCCTTCGAAATGATTTATTTGTAAGTGCCAATTGACAGTCACTATCGGGGCTGTGCCGGGCTGCTAGCAGGAGACAGGTAGCAGCAAGTTAGGAGGAAGATGAGGAGCGAAAGCCTCTTAAAAATTTAAATTTAAGTGACCAGTTCTTCAAGAAACCAGAGCCGACTGCTCTTTAGTGGCATTTCTTAAACTAGTAACTGCTGTAAAGGAAGGAGGGGTTTGGCAAATGCACCCTGAGAAATGTTTTTTTTTTCCGCGACAGTAAAAGTAATAGTTCCAAACCAGGGATTGTTATGAGCTCTTGTGAAGAGGTCAGGTATGTTAGGAGGGCCTGACAGATAGTTAGCAGGCAGCGAGCATGCAACAACCAGCCGCGCTCACAGCAGGCTATCGATCGGCCTACAGGCGGCAAATGCTTAGTGTCAGGCAATCAATCAATGATTTAAAATTCAACTTGCCGTCAGCTGTGAGTCGCTAGCCAATCCTGCCACTACCTACGCCAGAGGAGAAGCTAATTAGCTCGATGGACATCGTTTACACGCGTTTGTTGCTCTAAATATGTTGTACCTATTACACTCAAAGACTTCTGCTGTTGCGCTCTTCTTGTCATGTTCTTCCTTGGGGGACTCACACAAGGCGTAATTGGGCGGTGGCACCTCGGCCTTGGCTACCGTTACAACAGGGTACTTTTACACAAAAATGCTATTTGAGAGGGAGGGAACACTCGCCGATCGCTAACGTAACTCACTTACGCCGTTTTGCCTTGGGGCTCACTCTGGATCCTCGCCAGCAGCAGCAGCAGCTGTACGGTGACTAGAATCTTAGGCAGCTGAAAATTGCCGGCAAAGATAAAGTACACCGAAATGACCATTGCTGGCTCATTAGCTGTCATCAGATAGTCACAGCCCACTGGATGTGTGGTTGCTGGTGTTCATTCCACCCCGGAAGCAGGGTCTTCATTAAATCGCGTCCACCCGTCCTAATAAAATCATCCAGCGGTCGGAGCAAGCCCTCCATTTTGCACCTCCGGGTATTTGGTGCGCAGCTTTTAGTGTCCATCAAGTCATAACAAAAGCAGCAGACACTTTTAAGGTCATAAAGTGCTGACTGCTGTGCACGTTGGTTCACAGGGCTGTTTTTTCTATCCCCTTCTTGACCGTGGCTTAGTACACTAGCGCTTGGATCATGTCCTG